GATATCACAGGAAAGAGTTTTGAAAGGATTCATGCAAAAATGAAAATAACCAATAGCTCTACCAAAAGCAGCTGAATGGCTCCTGGGACCTGCAGTGATGGACTGGGAAGGCATTTTAATAATCAGTAACCAATGACAGGTGTCATGAGCTGACATTCCCTTCCCTGTGAATGGTAGCTTGAAGAGCTCATGGCTTTCTGAAGCCCTCGCTAGTGACCTCTGCATGTCTTCAGAGGCCGAGCCCAGACTTTCCAACACCATAGTGAAAAATGTTGGAGTGGCACATCCTAGTCTGATATTTTATCCATATCAACCATGATGTTGAATGTCACGGGTGCTCCTACAGTGAACCAGAGTAGGTCAGGACCAGATAAAATGTTGAGATAGTCTCTGTGATGCCTACCTGCCATATCCAATGAGGACAGTTGTCTGCCTTTGCTACATTTAGGTAATGTGTTCATTGAGTCCTTCCATCGGGCAACCAATACTTGGTGATTCACACCTTCATATGCTTAGGGATGGGGCCACAAGCTGTAGGTCAAGAGCTCATGGCTTTCTATTTTCAATGTTGAACATTTATTTTGTTTGTGTGTATGTTTGTGGTACTGTGGGCTGAGGACCTTATGTGTATGAGGCAAACATCCCACCTCTGAGCTGTACCTTTCGCTGGTTTGCTTTCTTTGTTGTACCCATGTGAAAGCATCGGCTGTAGTACTCAAAGGATCAGGCTGCTTAGTTGCTTAGAGGCCTGCGTCATGGCCTCTCCTCTGTTGGCCTGTGACTGTTACTTCCTGGTGTGAAACTCTGGCTCCTGCAGTGGGGGCGCTGAGCTGCTTGCCAGGCTGCTAGCAGAGGATGGAATGAACCTGTGGGCTAAGCTGTTCCCTGGAAAGTGGCTGTTGAAGTCCAGAGTTGGGTGTGGACGTGCATGATTGCCCTGCTTGTCAGGAGCTGGCCATAGGGTGGGAGACAGGCCACAATCAGACAGCCACTGTGCGGCCTATGAGGCAGCAATGTGATCCCCATGGGAAGGCATTGTCTACGCATTTGTTCCCTGGAAGGCTGGGAAAAGGAGTAAGTAATAACACTCTTCATAAAAACAGTGGAGCCCTCGCAGGCAGCCCACCTCCTCCAGGCCTGTGAGCGCCTACAGCAGCAGCTGGTTGCAATCCTTTAATGGTAGGATAAATGACCCTTAGTTTCCATGGTATGCATTTGTCTGAGTTGCTGGAGTGCACCATTGAGGAATCCCTGCGTGACTCTCAATAGTCATACTTGACGTGTGTGCTTGTGTGCTTGGATACACGACTACATGAGTTTACACACACACATACACGTAAACACATGCAAACACACCCACACATGCATGTACACACACATGCATGCACGCACGCACACACACACACATACACACAGTATATCTAACTTTGAACATAGTCTTTGTAGATACTTGCCCATCCCTTCCACAAGGCAGGTACATTAGAAGGTTTATGACCGATAGTTGCTGAATGGCTGAGGTGAGGCCTAAATGAATTGTGGATTGCTAAGTATGGAAAAGTTGGGGCTGACCCAGGTTTTTGAGTTCCAGTCTGGGCCTGAGGCCAGCTTGTCCTGCCTCGGCTGCTTTGGCCCAGGGACAGGGCATCAATTACTTCACACTCTTTCCAAGAACTCAGATACCCCTGTCTTGCTTCGAGTGGAGTAGCAGGCAGTGGTTTAGAATGACACCCAGCAATAGCCTGGGCCACCTGCTCATGGAAAGCAGAGGATTCAGAGATTGCTCTGACACAGTATCATATCAATACAATATCTCTGTATCATATCAGTACAGTGGTGCTATCTGCTCAGGTTCCATGCAAGCTTATCTCAGGGTCCCAGGTCCTAGGTTCTGGGTGCTGGCTGGTCCTTCTGAAAACATGGGTTCTATGGTTGTCAGATCCTGAAGGGACTGATCACTATCTGTCCCTTAGTGCCCAGAGTAGGGACAGCAAAGGTGGCTAAAGACTGAGATCATCCCCATGGACAACCAGAAGGAGGAATATGGTGATGAGGTAATTCTCTCTGGTGGTTTTAGGCCTTCAGCTTCTGAACTGTCAGTATTCCTGAACTTGTGAAAAGCTGAGTTTGAAATGAAGATGAATCTTCTTCTGGGCCTAGCTGCTCCCACAAGCAGAGTCTTTTCATGCTCCTACAAGGTCTATTCATGCTCATTCACTTTTGGGGGACACAGAACCAAAGCTGGGCCAACTGAATCCTAGGGATTGCTGCACGGCTTCTGTCTTCAGAGAAGAAGAACATATGCTTTTAGAAAAGTGATGGCATACTGGACTATTCAGGAGGAGACCAATAAATGGAGTCAGAAGATGAAATACTACAGAGCTCATGAACCAACTTCAACCACAGTGGCTGCAGAGGCCTTGTGAGCTCCAACCTACATCAAGAAGTCAATTCAGAAGAACTGGGAAACACATTCTAGCATATTATTTTCCCTCCCCCACTGAAACATTAGCTGTGGTATCAGGAAAAATAATGGTGTTGATTTAAACAAACAATCACAACAACAACTGTTGACTTTTGAGCCATACTCAAGGTGAACTTCAGGACTTGGATGTTGAGTTGCTAGCTGGTGATGGTGGGCACAGCCTCTGACTTTACTCTCCTTGTCCAGCCTGATCATAGCCTTGTTGCTTGCGCGCCCAACCTCCTCCTCCCTCTGCTGAATTGGCACCTGGCCTCAACGACCTGAAAATAGCATGCCTTCCTGGATTCACATCTTCTGAGCCGGCCAACTAGGCAGCCCTTGGAAGTAGGCCAGCCATGTTGGCTTTGATCTCTCCAAACTTCCCAAGAGCTGCAGGGTGAAATTCTGTGCACTATGATGTGGTTTCAGGGACATAATCCACATTTGTTCAAGAAAGGATCCAGCATGGCTTGATAGGGATGTAAGGTGCAGACAGGCCCCAGACTAGGCCCTGGAGGCCACTCATGCCTGCAGTTGCTCCACTCTGGGCACACCCCTTTCTGATCTGGAACCTGACTGTCATATCTATCAGTATACTGTCAGTGAGTGGTAGAGCCTGGTGCCCAGTGAGAATTCAGTAGGTTTATTGAATTAATTCTAGAATCTCCATGACAACCTAGCTCCTGACCAATCTTCAAAACTGAAGACGGCAAATTGGGAGCTGTTTTTACTGCAGATGAACATGTAACTCTGTGAGTGTGTGTGGGCACGTGCAGAGATGACCATGCCATCATTCAGGGGCTACACTGGACTGAAGTCCCTCTCTCCCTCAGCACTGAACACCCATGCCTTTGCTCTTGCCAAGGCAGTGAGTCTCCCACTGGAGACCTCCATGTCACACACTGTCTAGTCTATCTGGCAGGCAGCCCAGCAAACAGCAGACTCTCCTGGGGCAAAATATACTTGCCCCATAGTTGGGCACTCTGGCCCACAAAGTCTCCCAGGGGAAGTTACTTGACCTCACAGTTTTGGCTGGGCTTAAACACTGGGCCCCTGGGCCTTCCAGCTGGCCAATGCACTGAAAGTCTGGGGCGCAAAGAGATGTGCACAAACCCATTCTAAAAGCAGGAAGTGAACCTGGACTCCTTCAGGGTGAAGGTATACCAGGAAATAGGAGAGCTCCAGGCATGGACTCATTGCTTTCCAAGCTGAGCACCCTGCATGCTTTGATGTGGAGGAGAGCCTGCCCTCTGACCCACCTGGAACAGTCTGGCATTTGCTGTTCTGCACAGGCTGTGGAGGGGACAGAGAAGACTATTAAAGACAATTACGCAGACTAGCTTCGAGTGTTTGTGTTTAACAAACAGCTTTGAGTTCTAATTTTCTGCAAAACACATACTGCAGGTACAATTTGTACTCATTACTGTATATTGGGAAAGTTATTAAAAACACTCAAACTTGGTTGAGACTTCCTATGGCATCATCCCTGGATTTTAATTGGTTTTTATCTAGTTCTGCAAAAAGATCTCTTTAAGGCCAATCAAAGTCCCTGGCTCTGCTGCCTTGCCAGCCAAAGGACAGGGAGAAACCCAAGAATGGTACAAGTCTACCTCCATCCAAACCCTGACAGCCTCAAAAGCCCACCAAGATTCCATCAGGAGACCATGTATGGGATGGACACAGTTACCAGATGACAAAAATCAGTGTTTCATAGCTAAGGGTTAATTTTTAATCTCTGAGGTTTGCAAAGCTGCTACTAGCAGTCTCCTTAAAATTTAATATACCTCGTTAATGCTTCCTTGCAAACACTGAAGGATTTTTATGATTATAATCATGTGTTACAGCACCTAGTACTGTTTCTAAGCAGCATACTAATCAGCTTAATGAGATATTACTGCACTTTTTGTTGACTAAAGCAAAATCTCTTTTATTGTTCTAAAGCCTGTCCTTTACTTTATTTTTTCCCAAAACATTATCTTGTTTTATTATGTACCAGTAAATATCATGCTATTGGCTCTATTTTTTTCCCTTTGGCCAAATCATAAAATGATCTCTTTCATCTTAGACTATTGAGTACACTGAATATAGTAAACAGAAAAGGAAGTGCCCCGTTGGTCTTTCAATGAAAGCTACTCTGCTCTAAGGCAAACTTTGGACTGAACCAACAGGTAGAGGAACTTTGTGAAGGGAAAGGAGGATTCGTTGAACACGCAGAGCCTTGATATGTTATAAGGTGTTGAAAATGGTAAAATATTAATAATTAAACTGCGAATGAATAATTGCACTCTGTAAATAGAATATACAAGGAAGACGATCCATTCCCAAAACAAATTGGAGGACACTGCCATATTGCATAATTGACATTTAATAATTCATCCTTTTATTATTGTTTTTGAGTATAATTCCTTAGCATTATTACGGGTAGGTAAGTCATGAAATGCAAACGTCCTTCCCCCACCACCACCTATCCCCAACTGATGCTATTGCTCCTTCCAGCCACTGTACCTGGAACAGATCTGAACTCTGTTTTTATTTCTAGGGATGGAAGAAGCGAGTCTGTGCCTTGGAGTGTCCTCGACGGCACCGGAAGCTGAGCCTCACCTGAGCGGCCCTGTCCTAAATGGCCAGTATGCCATGAGCCAGAAGTTACACCAGATCACTTCCCAGCTCAGCCATGCCTTTCCTGAGTTGCACCCACGGCCCAACCCAGAGGAGAAGCCACCTGCAGGCCTTGAGGAGAAGGCCCACGTACCCATGAGCGGGCAGTCCATGGGCAACCAAATGGCATTGCTGGCCAACCAGCTGGGCCGTGATGTGGACAATAGCCTCAATGGGCGCGTGGACCTGCAGCAGTTCCTCAACGGGCAGAACCTAGGAATCATGTCCCAGATGAGTGACATTGAGGATGATGCCCGAAAGAACCGGAAGTATCCATGTCCTCTGTGTGGCAAGCGTTTCCGGTTCAACAGTATTCTCTCCCTGCACATGCGCACTCACACCGGTGAGAAGCCATTCAAGTGCCCCTACTGCGACCACCGGGCGGCCCAAAAAGGAAATCTTAAGATCCACCTGCGGACCCACAAGCTGGGCAACTTGGGGAAGGGGCGTGGGCGGGTGCGTGAGGAGAACCGTCTGCTGCACGAGCTGGAGGAGAGGGCCATCCTGCGGGACAAGCAGATGAAGGGCAGCCTGCTGCAGCCGAGGTCTGATCTCAAGCCCTTGGCACATGCCCAGCAGGCCCCGTTGGCCACCTGCAACTTGGCCATGCCCCCCAACCACAGCGTGCCCGACATAGCCCACCCGGCACCTTCCCCCAAGCCGGCCAATCTGCAGGAGGATTCCGTGACCCCGGCGGCGGGCTTCCGATGCACCTTTTGCAAAGGCAAGTTCAAGAAGCGCGAGGAGTTGGACCGCCACATCCGCATTTTGCATAAGCCCTACAAGTGCACGCTGTGCGACTTCGCGGCCTCGCAGGAGGAGGAGCTCATCAGCCACGTGGAGAAGGCACACATCACCGCCGAGTCGGCCCAGGGCCAGGGCCCCAACGGCGGGGGAGAGCAGTCAGCAAACGAGTTCCGCTGCGAGGTGTGCGGCCAAGTGTTCAGCCAGGCCTGGTTCCTGAAAGGCCACATGCGCAAGCACAAAGACTCCTTCGAGCACTGCTGCCAGATCTGTGGCCGGCGCTTCAAAGAGCCCTGGTTCCTGAAGAATCACATGAAGGTCCACCTCAACAAGCTGTCGGTGAAGAACAAGTCCCCCACCGAGCCTGAGGTGTCGGTGCCCATGGGCGGCCTGTCCCAGGAGGCCCATGCCAATCTGTACTCTAGGTACCTCTCCTGCCTGCAGAGTGGCTTTATGGCCCCGGACAAACCCAGCCTGAGTGAGCCCACCCAGCTCTATGGCAAGGGGGAGCTCCCAGCCAAGGAGAAGGAGGTTCTGGGAAAACTACTGTCGCCCATCTCCAGTATGGCTCACAGTGTCCCCGAGGGGGACAAGCACTCCCTCCTGGGCTGCCTCAATCTCGTGCCACCACTGAAATCCAGCTGCATCGAGAGGTTGCAGGCGGCTGCCAAAGCTGCAGAAATGGACCCCGTGAATAGCTATCAAGCCTGGCAGCTCATGGCCAGGGGCATGGCCATGGAACATGGCTTCTTAGCTAAAGAGCATCAGCTCACGCGCAACCACGAAGACCCTTTGGCAAACGCCGGAGTTCTGTTTGATAAGGAGAAGCGAGAGTACGTGTTAGTGGGAGCAGATGGCTCCAAGCAGAAAATGCCTGCTGATTTGGTTCACAGCACTAAAGTGGGCAATCAGAGAGACCTGCCAAATAAGCTCGACCCTCTAGAAGGCAGTCGGGAATTTTTGTCACATGGGCTCAACCAGACGCTCGAATACAACCTGCAGGGTCCCGGGAACATGAAGGAGAAGCCTACCGAGTGCCCGGACTGTGGACGGGTGTTCCGAACCTACCACCAAGTAGTCGTGCATTCTCGCGTTCATAAGCGGGACCGCAAGAGTGACGAGGATGCTCTGCACGTGGGTGTGGGCCTGGAGGAGCGGCGAGGCTCAGGCAGCGACCAGGAATCCCAGTCAGTGAGCCGCTCCACCACACCTGGCTCCTCTAATGTGACTGAGGAGAGTGGGCCCGGAGGTGGCCTGTCACAGACCGGGAGCGCCCAGGAGGACAGTCCGCACCCCTCTTCACCATCTTCCTCAGGTAGGTTGGCAGGAGGAAAGGGAATGAGTAGAAGGGCCCTGCCTCCTGCCCCAAACTGCTTGATTCTGTACACCCGCCTCAGGCCTTAAGATAGTTATGAGGTTAGTGAAGCTGGACCACAAAAAGTGGCAGGCTGGATGCTGGATAGTGCCAGTATCCTTCAGGATGATGCCCTGCTCCAGAGGTGGGGCCGTCCTTCCAACCCTGAGCCATGGCTACCAGCAAAAGGCAGACGAAGCTCCGTCCCAGTGCTAGAGAGTATGGCAGGCTTTCTGATGAGGTACTGCATCAGAAGGGTTTTGCCCTTCCTCTGGAACTGTTCAGTTCTGCTTGTAGTCTAACCTGGTACTCAGCTCTGTCTTTGGAGCCCAGGAGCTGACGTTTGGCCCCACATATGGATGTGAATGTGGAAGGTAACTATTTCTTTCCCTTAACTGTATCCACACAAACCTTTTATGTGGGAGTTCTCTCCCCGCCTCCCTCTCCAGCCTGTTCCCTCCTGAAATTCCAGCCTGGCCTACCTGCCTCCAGAGACACACCACCTTCCTCTGATGGTTTTAGCCAGGCACAGAGGTTTGAAAACACAGATGTATGCCTGTGTGTCTTCAACGGTACTGTGTTGCATGGGTGATACAGTTCTATGGTCTAAAATAGCAAAGCAGAAAAATCTGTCATCAAAAATGTCTATGAAATGCAGAAGCATCCTGGCCCTGTTCGAGGAGAAAAAAAAAAAAAAAAGAAAAGAAAGGAAAAAAAAATACATACTAGTCTAAGATGGCTATATTAAAATCACTACCTAACAGTAGGTAAAAGGTTGCCTTCATCCGTATTTCCAAAGTCCCTTTACTAATGGATAGTAAATTGAAAGTTATATCTCCAACCCTTTATAAAGAAAGCACCTTGCTAATACTGTAATCATTCTACTGCCTAACAACAGAGGAAATCATGCCATAACAAATACCCTGTTACTAATGGCAACATTGATTTCTGCAATCAGCCATTAAGTCTAGAAAATGAAAGACAGTTTGAGGCACCTCGAGGCACTGCATAGCCCACTGTTAAAGATGTGGCAATGAGCTGCTGAGGGTCATTTTTTAAAAAGTTTTTTCCTCTCTCTCTCTCTTTCTCTCGTGTGTGTGTGTGTGTGTGTGTGTGTGTGTGTGTGTGTGTGTACGCACTGTTATTTCCGTTGTACGGGTGATTCACTGCGGTAGTTACTAACTAGATGCCGACACATTTTGTTGTTGCTCTCTCACGTCAGCTTCCCTTTCTTCTAGAACAAAACTAGTACTAGGATAAAGTGTGTGTGTGTGTACGAGCGCGTGCGTGCTCGGACTTTCTCGAGTGTGCCGGCTTATTACAAGCCAGTAAAGAATTGTTAATACACATAAATCTGAACTACACATTCCAGAGATTCCGATAGCACTTAATGCTGCTGCTTAAATACCCATGAAACACACTGTCTGCTCGTGGAGTCCTGGACTCACTGGCGATTTATGACTGAAGAGGTGCTTCGGGAGAGTCTAACAAGGATGTGAGGACCACGGGAAGATGGGGTCACTCTGCATGGAGGGGCCTTACACAAGAGGAAAGTTGTGAAGAGTTCCTTCTTGCCGGTGGGAGCCCTGTCATAATGGGTTCGCACATGCGGGCTGGAGAGCTCCAGGCACCCCTCTGCTGTCTCCAGGGATGCTTTCCACCCTCCTGCAAAGGGGGCTTTTCTTCAGGAAATGTGGTTTTCACTCTTTGGAGGTTAGGGACCTTTCAGGGGTGGCAATCAGGAAGCAGACTGGATTTCCTAAGTTTCTGGAGTGACCTGGTTTTCACACTGAAAGATTCCATCTCCTCTCCCAAACCTGCTAAAACAAGAGGGTCTCAGCATAATATTTCAAACCCAAACGCTCGCTCGGCTCTATGAATGACATGTTTACCATGTTTTTATCACCTTCTGGCCAACTGATAGCCAGCCTCTTGCTGCTTGCCCATCTCTAAATACTGAATTGGGAGAGAAAAAAAAAAACGCACACACCCAAACCTAGATTTATTTATTTATTTATCTATCTATTTATTTGTTTGTTTATTGTTAAGAGAAGCAACTGTGGTCAAAAGCAAATCATACTTGAGCTGGCATTAGCCCTGCACTTCATTTTCCCCTGGTGAAGGATTTTACAGTTGTGAATACGGATTCTTTCATTTGGGGTTTGACTTCTTTGTTTTCTTCATATTCAAATCAGACCCTTTCATAATTTTCTGACTAAGTAGGGAAGTGGATGGCGTGCCCACTCTGCAGCCCAAATCAGCTGCGTGTCTGAGGGCATTCAGGTTTTGCTGGGATTTAGGATTCTCCACCAAATCTGGTTCATTTTCCCTCTTCTAACAAGTGTGAGTCTTGTAAAGTACGATCCAAAGACATTTAAATAAAACTCTTGACAGAATCGGTACTTGTATTGTTACCTGTTAGAAACCTGCAAGGTGAAGGGGAGGGGGAAAACTTAAGCCCTTAAGTAAAGAAAAAGTACTTATTAAGGCTTCTATTAAGAAATCACTGCAAAACACGGCCTTACAAATTTCTCAGACTGCATAACAATGTCACAAAACTTCATTTGCATGGCTTGATTCTTTTTTTGTTGAAAACTGGGTCAGTAGGGCCTGAGAAACTATTTTTTCAGATCTTAACCAATGAATTCTTCTTTATAAATCGCTGCTCTTAACATGATAGTAGTTTTGAATTCATCATAAAAAACCTTTTTAGCAGAGGCTCTTAGAATAGATCTCTAGAAGAAGGCTTACAATGAGTGGCTGAGACGTCCTTTGTTATCTGATGTAATTCTTTGCAAAGGAGGATTGGGAACGGAGTAGCTGTTTAAAAATGTCTTGCTCAGACCGAGACGAAGAAGGGGTCAAGTTTGCAATCAAACAGTTATTGCCAAGATGGGCGACTGTCACTGGCTAGGCTAATGTGGGATGCAGCTGTTTGTTATGTGAGCAAAAGAATGTTTGAATCAGTGAACATGTGAAAATGATTCCAGTGAACCAGAAAATGTGTTTGTTCTTTTGCCTCTCCAAACTGCTGAGAACCAAGCTTAAGATCAACTGCGAAAACTAAGACCTTTGACAGACGGGAGGTCACATTTTCTAACAGAAAAGCGACAGAACTTGCCACACAGATCACCTCCCCATCTCCCTTTGCTGTCATTTGTTTATTTGTTTGTTTGTTTATAAGTTCACACCGTAGTACGTGTCCTTTGCTTCTGTGTGCAATGCAAAGTGAAACTATTTGGAGAGTGTCAGCTTATAAATTTTACTCTTTTATGACATTTAGAAAGCAGGGCGGCTGTTCTGATGCCTCCTCATTTCCTGGCTTGCGTGCAAAGGCTCTGATGACATTAATCTCTGCGTCTTTCCCTAAAATTTCCTCTCAAACCACCACTGTATCCCAGTTTTTGCTTTGAGTCAGAAAACAACTGAAGTTCTGTTTCTTCAGATTTTGCTTTGGAAATCATGCTTAGTATAATTAAAACTTAATGTACTAAGAAACGATACTGTTCATTATATCCAACAGGGCAGTTACCTTCCGAATTCCCCATCATTTTGGAGTGGGGATAATTGAAGTGTTGATGGTGGGAAGGGGGTAATTGAATGCATTGACCCTCCATTCATTAAATAAAGTCAGCAAAGTTGCATGATCAATGGAAGCCAGGGAGAGAGAGATACAAAGATGGAAATATCGTTAACCCCTACTTCTTCTGCTATAGTATTTTGAGTTGGACAAGGATTATTTGATCAGCTGGACTAAGAGCCTTGGGGGTCGGTCTGCTTTTGTTGCTAGAATGCATTCCTGAGATGCTGGGTCTCCATTCTGCCTAGGCCCATTGACCACTGCATCAAAGGCCTTTATCCACAACCCCCTGCAATACATTGGTGATAGTGATATGATAGATTTTCTTCCTTTCTCACATTTTTTTCTCTTGTGATTCACCCTCCCCATCCCCATTCAAGATAACCACTGCCTGTTCCACGCAAACAAACCCAAGCACTCAAGAGATGATTTTTAAAAATGAAAAGAAGAGAAAAGAAAAACTGTATAAACTCTGAGGATTGAGGTCTCCTTTTTTCCTTTCCTTCTTTTCTCTCTCTTTTTTTTAAAAATTTTTCTTTCTTTTTTTTCTATTTTTTTTTTTTTTGCTTGTGCATTCCAATTGTTCTTAAAATATTTGGCAATGTCAATTAGTAACTGAGCAGAGTTAGCTGATGAACACAATTTTCCAGTAGACTGAGCACCCTATTGTTGCCGAGCGAACAGCAGATTTCTAAGGTCATTATCATTCGCTGGTTGCTTGGCCCAGCTGCTTCCTGCTGCAAAAGCCAAACTTTATACTGGAGCTCGGGGATGGCTGCAGCAACAGGGGGCTGGGAGGGGGAGAGGGGAGCTGGCTGCAGAGCCAAAGACAGTCATTATCAGCAGAGGAAACAGAAAGCAAAAGTTTCCAGGCCATTCCAGGAAAGCTGCGGCAGCAGGCTCTGACCCCACCCCCACCCTGTGCCTTGGCTACCACCTTCTAGAAGGTTGGGAGAACACCCCCAAGCCATGGTAGCAATTGACTTCTCGTACACAACTTTGGGAAGCACTCATTTCATTTATAAAGTGCCTTAAGAGTGTTTAACCCACCCGAGCGCATGGGTGCGATTCCCGCATAGATAGATAAAGACACTCCCATTTTCAATTTTAAAAAGTCATTTTTTTTTTAAAAGATGCTTTTAGCAACTCGAAATGAGTAAACTCAGGGAAAACAGGCAGAAATCAGCATGCCATTCTCCAAAGGGACCTTTGAACAGGAGGTGGTCTGAAATTCCTTGAAAAATACAATTTTATACTGGGGGCTTACTCCTGTGCCTGTTAGGTTTTTTTTTTATTTTTTTTTTATTTTTTTATTTTCCTGGCTCCTGAAAAACCCCTACCCCACCCCCAGTTCAGGAGCTGTTTCAGGGAGATGAAAAGC